GTATACAATGACACAAGAAAGAAAGAAAATAACACAGGAAAGAAAGAAAATAACACAGAAAGGAAAGAAAATAGCACAAGAAAGAAAGAATATAATACAGGAAAGAAAGAATATAGCATAGTTTATAAATGAACAGAATTCTCGAATTTTGCTTGGTGAGAATTCTGCCACTGCTGGACGTTTTCGAGCACTATAACAAGCTAAACTCATTTTCTCGAATGACTTCATTTTGTTTGATCCAACCAGGAGTATTGACTGTTGGTACTTATACTGGATTTGCACCTGTTTCTTGGAGCGATGATGATGGTACTGCACATGGCAGAGATATCGATTTGTTAAAAGAGTTCGCTGCTCAATGGAATCTGAACATTATTTTTCATTTCTTTCCATTCGATCAAATTTGGAAGCGACCTAGTAATAATGAAATTGATATTGCAGCAGCCGGCATTGCACCGTTGAAGTCGCGTCAAACAACAGGTGTGGTGTGGAGTGAACCATATTATACTGTGCAGCGTTCATTACTTATTCGTGCTGTGGACTGTGAACGATTTAAAACGATGGCTGATTTTACTGATAAAACAATCTTGGTAACAAATGGTTCTACTGCACAACTTGACGCAGAACAAAGAAAGCCACCAAGTACATCTATCATTTATTATGATGGTAATCAAGCTGAAATGGTTCGGCAATTACTGGACGGAACGGTAGATGCTCTTGCTGAAGGTGATATTTGCAGCCGTTATTTAGCAGCGATACGTTATCCAGGTCAGGTTGCAGTCGCTGATGTACATGCTATGAAAGAACCTGAAGAATTTGTCTTTGCCGTACGAGAAGCAAGTGGTGATCTGCTTGATGCTCTGAATAATTTCATTCACGAGTATCGTAAGGATTATTAAACGTTGTACGATAGTAGTTTTTACTGTGACATTAGTCAATATCAAATATGATGAATGTTGAATGGAAATAATTTCTTAACTTTCAAAGCAAACATATTTTTAATTCGTTATATAACTGTGATTTTATGATAAACATTAGTTTCGAAGATTGAAAATATGTATTGTGATACATTTTTTCTCTTTCCAATACTTAAATTACGTATCTATTAATGTGATAAGAGTAGATGATATGTGTCAATAAGTTTCAAGAAATCTGTTTTGGGTTTCAGTTTGATAATTATTACTTTGATAATAATAATAGAACTAAAAACTATCAAGTAGAATCATTCCTTTTGTAAATTATGATTGTATAGTTACTTATTCAAATTCAAAAAAATATGAATCTGTTCGCTATACTATTTACATAGTAGTTACAAACTTTTAAGATGTTATCATCGCTTCTACCCACTCAAAATTTTTATTGCCAGTGCCACTTTATTAAACTTGCAACCAGTCAGGAGGATTAGTGTTTGTCGAGCAGTATGTATGGCAAAAGAAAGATGCTGATTAATGTTTGATCATTAGTCAGTTTCTATCAAAAACAAGTGTTAGTTACATCAACATTTTTCACCTATCAAACAGAACTGATCGATAATTAATCATGTTTGAACATTGACATTGTTATTGATCCTTAATAACATAACCAGAATGCCTTGAAAAGATGAAAAGTGATGCATTGATTTAACTTATTCAAGTCTAGAGCTAGATTCTTCTAGTGAAGATTCTCATTTAATAATTAACATTTTCATACACATATGGACATCTGGATTAAATCTCATAAAATGAATCGCTTTTAAAAACATTTTCGCAATAGTTCTCATTGGTGCTATCGTTTTAAATGCTTTGTTAGTTAGAGTTGTTAGAGCAAGTCGAAAATATTTACTATGTTCTTCCACTTTCTCCTTTCTATTATTTATATTCGTCTTTTATTTGACATGACTTATTCTCTCGATTGGCCGATATTTTATTGCGGTCATCTATCTTTTTTTTTCTTTGTTAGGTTCAATTCAACTAGTATACCAAATAAAGAGGTAGACATTCTTCGTATAGTATCGAATACTAAATTAACTAAACAAGTAATTATATCTCATATGTTTAGCTTTTTAATATTCATACAGAAAAAAATGAAAACTCTCAGAAGTATTCGAAGAATGAACATTTTTTTTAGATAGTGTTTGATTTTAAATTGCCTTTTATTCATACATATTCAAATTTTCTATTAATTAGTCCAGCGAAATATTTTGAGTATAAGAAACGCTTTACGATATACTGTATTAGATGATTAGAAAATTATCGAAAAATATACGAAAAGAATTATTGTGTTGACTGCGTTTATATGTTGTGCCATGAATATTCAGTCTGTGCCATGATAGATTCCTTGTATTAATAATGATTCATATGTATAGCAGCATTCTGCATAGAATGCAACAGTTCTAACTCATCAGTCCCATGAGATAACATTCTTTTTCTGTAAAGCTATTCTTTCACTAAAAACAGTACAACCGTTTTATATAGCTTTTTTACTCATCTGTTTCAGTTGAAAAAGTTGAATGTGGGTCTTCTCTCTATCGATATTCTCAAGATAAAAAGAATGATGTGTTTTTCATTGTAAATAAAATAGAGTAATTAATTCGTTATAAATTTACGTAAATTATTGTGGAAGAGCAATAAATCCTGTTCCAGGATAGAAGGCTTTATTTAATTAAATAATTAATTGATTAAAAGTTAATCACCATTAGCTTTAAATTAGTTAAGAGTTAGTCGAATACTGTCATTTTTCTTTTGTGTTTTTAAGTATCTAACTTCGTTTTCCACCATCAATAGTATATTTTCACACGAATACATCAATATTTTTTAAATAAAAATTGTTAATTAGTTACTATTTAGAAAAAATTTTTTAATCAATATTTGGTTAAAATGTGACTTCGATAGAAGAGTCACATAAAAAGGAGTGATGTACAGAGACGCAATTCAAGTACATGATTCTTTATTCGGGGAGGGGAGGGGAGGGGCCGATTAAATAAAAATGAAAAGAACAAAATTATGAAATATAAGATGAGATAATACATTTTTTATAATTTCAATCAGCTGATATATGTTGAATAAATTTGAGAGTTGATATCTTCCATTCCATGGAACAATTTCTTTCGTTCCATCCCGCGCTGAGTCCTGATGTGTAATATTATTTTCTGTTCTCTGATGAAGAAAACATTGGACCAGACTGTGACATTATCTTTAAGTCATAAGATCATTAAACAAGACGAAATAGAAAGAATATTACAGTTTATTTTTGTTACTTGTCAACATAGTTTACAGAGAGAATAATATCTCGTTGAAAAGTCGCACCAGAAATATGTTGATAGATATCCAGATTGTTTCATCTATAAATATAGACATTTACGTTGTTTAAATAACATAATATATTCATTTAGAATGAAGTTGGTATCTACTGAACTTACTGTTTTACTTCTCTTCATTGTGACAATTATTAGTCATACTGAGACAACAACTAAACGAACAACATCTGCTCAAAAACTTGGTTTTCGTCGTTGTCAAAAACAAAAAAATGGTCAACGTTTATGCTTTTGCGGGAAAACTAACACAGTATTTGACCGTTTGAAAGGAGAACGATGCATCAACGGACAAGTGATTAAGAAAATAAGTCAACAAAGGTATAGAAATGATCTCAAATTAACTTTATACCAGAAATTGATGTATTCTGATAAAAACTAATCCTATGTTTAGTGACGTATCAAAATTTTCTGCTCTTCGGATAACAAAAAAGCCTATTCATCGATCTGCTCGTGATGATAGTAAAGATGTTCCATGCATCAAACTTCTATTCAAACCACCATCGAGCTCGATCAATGAAGCATATGTACCACTTCGTAATGTATCAGTCGAAGCTTGGATTGATTCGTTTGCTGCTGATGTCACATTGACGCAAGTGTTTTTTAATCAAGAAGAAGATCCCATCGAAGCAATTTATGTGTTTCCTATTGAAGTATGTCAATTAGAAGTTGATTTTTCTTGATAGTTAGTTAGAAAAGATTCACAATTAAAATTCGCCTATGTACATGGGAAATAGATACATGATTTAAGTACACGCAATACAAAGATCGATAAGGGCACTTTTCTATATCGAAATGTTTGCAAAAGCAACGATAATAATGACTGTCAGTTTAGCTATGAGCTATAACATGAAACTATTTATCAACATGAATTTGGCATAAAAACTTTTCACTTGCTCAATCTAATAGGTTGTATCAAAAAGTCGTTGTCCCTAACGTTGGATGAAATATGCAAGAACATAGAATTCATGCATGTAATTATGAATAATATATATATATATATATATATTTTTTTTCTAACCTATTTTCATGAATGAGAAGAGCAAATTCTTTTTCATAAGGCTTTCAACACTAAAAAAATCTACATTAGGAAAACAACCAAGGTATTATTCATAACCAATAGTAACAATTTCGTATTTTGAGAAGTCTTTTAATTGACAGGTAGAATTTTAACAGCTTATAGTTAACCTACGGTGATGATGACGTAACTTTATCAAATCTCGTATTTTAGTATAAAAACCCTTCTTGTTTAGTTCAAGTAAAAAGCATTTTATTTGTAGGAAAATGCTGCTGTTTATTCTTTCATGGCTCTAATAGATAATCGAACAATTACAGCTGTATTAAAAGAAAAAACTATCGCAGAACAAGAATATAAATCAGCTGTTGAACAAGGGAAAACAGCAATTTTAATGGAACAAAGCAAACAAACTTATGATACATTCACAGTTAGTAATTTATAAATTAATTAAAAATTTCATAAGTATTATTTAAAAAAAACCAACATAAGTCTATACTTAGGTTAATGTTGGTGCATTACCGCCTGGAAAAGAATGTCGAATCATTATTCGATATGTAACTGAACTAGATTTAACTGAGGAAAATTCGATTCGATTTGTTGTTCCTACTACCGTCGCCCCACGATATAATCCGTCGTTAGGTCATTTGCAAACACCTGACAGAACAGATGCTCAATATGTTCAAAAGACTCCTTATTCAATGTCGTTTCAAGCACACGTTCTACGTGATGAAGAATGTAAGTAGATGCTTTAGATTGAAATATTTTTTAAAGTAATTCATACGATTAATTCAAGACACAATTAAACAAGTAGCCAATCGTTCGCATCCAGTAAATATTAGTATGTCGCATCAATCAATAGATGTTTCTTTAATGGCGATTGCTCTTGATCGTGATATTATTCTGGATATTGATCTACCCGATAATCGATCACCAGCGCATGTTACTATGGACAAATATAATGATTCTTCAAAATATGCTATTCTTCTAGCATTCACTCCACGCCTTACTGATTTTATTAAAATCTCTAATGGAACAGAAGAAGCGAATACAGAGTTTATTTTCATCGGTATATTTTTCAAAAGAATCACTCAAATAAAATAATAATGTATTTGTTTTGTGTGACTTTTAGTGGATTGCTCAGGCTCAATGACAGCGGACAATGGTATTGGACTTGCAAAAGAGGCTATGCTACTGTTTATTCGTAGTTTACCATTGGGCTCGCATTTTAATATTATTCGCTTTGGATCAAACTTCGATATTCTCTTTGATGGTGAAACAATGACAACTGTTTATAATGAAAGTACTGCTAAAGTAGCTGATAATCTTACACGTTCCATGGAAGCTAATTTTGGTGGAACAGAATTGTTGGAACCTTTGAAACATTTAAAAGATCATCCGCCACTCAAAGGCCGATCACGACAAATCTTTCTACTGACTGATGGAGAAATTTCAAATACTAACGAAGTAAATATATAAAATGACATTTTCCAGGATTTTTGTAGAACACGATGGAAAGTATAGCCTTTCAACGACACTTAATTACAATGTGATTCAGAAATCAGAAGTTCTAGTTATTTTTTCGTTTTAAGGTGATTGAATTATGTCGTTCCATGTCGTCAACTACAAGAATATTTTCTTTTGGTCTTGGCCATTCGCCATCTCGTTCTCTAGTGAAAGGTCTTGCTCGTGCAACGAATGGTTATTTTGTTTTTGTTCCTCCAAATTCAAAAGTAGACACATATGTTGGTAGTCAATTTGGCCGAGCTCTTCAGCCATCACTAGTTAATGCTCGACTTCAATGGCACGGGTTACCTACAAATGGATTACAAGCTCCTAAACAGATTCCACCTCTCTATATCAACGATCGTGTCTTAGTTTATGAACTAATAGATGGTGGGGAATGGACAAACCAAAATATTAGTGTAGATCTTCTAGTTGAAGAGCATAAAATAGCTTCAATCAAGTTATCTGGTAGCACTGTACACAATAGAGATACAATACGACGATTAGCAGCTAAAGCACTGATCCAAGAATTACAACATGATAAATACGCTGAAGATGAATCGCAGTACGTATTGAACGCTAAAGAGAATTTATTTTTAGAGAAAAATTCTACTTAAATCATTGAAATTGTTTGATTCACTTTTATTTTCATGATAGAAACAACACGATACTTGAACAACGCATTACTATGCTGTCAATGAATCATCAAATTTTATCACCTTACACAGCATTCGTCGGTGTAGAAAATACCACTACAAAATATAATAATACTCAATCAAAAATTCGCCACATACCTATTCAGATATCGAAAGGTGATGAACACTTATTTCATCCCCAATCAGCATCTTATCAAAATCATTTCGCTGGCTGGTTGTCACCTGCATCGTCATCAGGTTTCGGAGCAAGGCCAATGCCTGTGCCAATGGCAATGGGAGCAAGTGGGGCACAGTTTCGACCAATGTTAGGACAGTAAGTAATGCTGAAGTTATTTTTCGACCAACTCCAGTAAAAGAAAAATATGCGTCAATCATATATGAATCTTTAGTTTTTGTACGACTTTATGTAGACAAATAAAAACATCTAAAAGAAAATTTTAATCCCAGTCTATGACTGTAGAAAAGAAAGTTTGCCAAAAATAAAAGTATATGTTAGAAAAATAATTGAAATATTTAAGTTAATTTCCCACCTGCCTATTCACAAGATCTATTAGAGCAATACATATGAAGAACAATGTATCCCATCAATAAATTTATTAGTAAACTTTGATCGGGACCGGTTGACGTATTTCAAAATCTGCCCTGTACTTGTATCACTTCATGTTTTCTTTTATTTTTATGATGCTTCTAGATCCAGCCAGCAGCAGCAATTCAGAGTTGCACACTACCGCCCCCAGATGATGCACGACGCTCATCCACATGATATGAGTACTACTACGGCATCATTATCTGCTGATCCTGCTCGCTGGTTAATTGATCAACAATCATTCAATGGAGCATGGCTATTAAACGAAAAAGATATTGAAACATTGACCAATGGCAAATCATTAAGTACATTTCATTCGAATGTTACGAAAGCGAAAGATGCTTTAACAACCGCAATCGCCATCGCTGTATTAGAGCTAAAATATGCTGCTCAAAAGAACCTTTGGTATGGAGTAGTGGAAAAAGGACGCAAGCATTTGTCTACTTTTGGTCTAAGCAGTGATCAAGCAAATGCGCTTATTAATGAAATAAAGAGCAAATTATGACATTTCAATGCTTTTTTTAACTGTAGTTAGCGAGATATTGTTCTCTTCAATAAAATAAGTAGTTGCAAATAAAAAAGAAAAACAATACATAGACAATTCACTATTATGTAAAATTAGATTTATGTGTGCGGGTGAAGCTATTTTCAAAAAAATCACATGTATTAAAATGAATTCGTATTCTATGCAAAAATGATGCATGAATATGTTTGAAAATTCATCACCCTCTAATCCCATAAAATGAACCAGTCAAGATTTGAAGCTTTCGTTATTAGTACTTCTTTCGATTTCAAGATATTGAGCAAGATACATCTATATACTTCTGTCTTCATCATGGACTATTTTCATTGAAAAAAAAAGACAGTTTTCATAATTATCACAATGGCATTAATAATTAAGCACGTATGAAACGACAAACCTTTTCATACAAAAATTGTTGCACACTGAATACTGGATAAATATCATCAATAGAGTATCGAATCAGAGTATATGTCGAAAGCAATCATTTCATATGAATTTTTCAACATGAATTGTACAAAAAGTTTTCGAATAATGATAAAGCCACTATCGCTGCATTTTGTTTCTACAATGTCATCTATTACTGTGAGATAAATGCTAACTTAGCCGTTGTTATGTATTACTTCAATAATATTTATTGCAAATATTCAAAAAAAAATAGCTAACTAGATACTGATCGGAAATAGCTACTTAATACATAGATGCATACGAAAGGGTGTCGTTTTATATTTTATAGAATTCTCATTATGAAATACTAAAATAAAAATGAGTTTGAATCATAGCTAAGAAAATTTTAATTTGAAAAACTAAAATAAAAACATTGTTTCATAAATTTTGCAAAATTTCTTTTGACTGTTTTTATTTAAGAATATCCTTAAATATTCTTTCTATCTTTTAACTATGAAAATTAATTTTTTGGAATTAAAAACAAGGCAAACTGTTTTTCTAAAATCGTAATCATATTCACTATAGAATAGGGATGCAACGGTGACGGTGAATCACCGGTTCACCGTCCACCGGTAGCCGGTCCTACTAAACCGGCGCTGATTGGAACTAGTTGTTAATGACAACAATTACTTTCGGTCTTCCATGGTTTCAACAGCACTTTACCTACCACGAATGTAATTATTCAAAGTCAAAATTTTACGTTGAGGAGATACTAATGGCGTTGGCCATGTGTCTTTTTTTTCAGATATCTTCTTAATAATTACTGATAGTGGCGCTGATACACAGGTGATTTAATTGCACCGAGTACTCATTTACAGATGTCATATACGTATATATGCAGTCATAGTTGAACTAGTACGTACCATTAGTGAACTCGCACTTTTATACTAAGGATGATCGTGTTGCACAATCATTCTGAATTTCAATGCTGATAAAGAATTTAAGTTGTTACAAAATCATCAAAAGTTAATACTATACAAGATTGCCAGTACTATGATTCTCTTATTCCATGTTGTAGTTTTCATACGACTCCGAATAAATCATAATATAC